CGCATCGAAGCCAAACAAGACTAGGGCTTGGCAGACTGCAGGGAGTACTTTATTATAGGTTAGTTTCGTAGGGAATTCGGTGGGTAGATCCGTACGTCAACTTTGTGACCCACAACAAGGAAGTAGGAATAATCCTTTATGCCGTGGCCAGAACAGCTTCACAATAAGATTGTAATATCTTAAGAGCATAAGGATGGTATTATGTAGAAGGATAGAGTCTTATATACGTTAGAATCCACCCTTCATGCTGTAGTGTAGATAGTTATAGAATAGAACTAGAAACTCTTACGGGCATAAAACTGTTGTTAGACAGAGGAGTAAAGTCTTAGATGAAATATGTAAAATTCTTAAAGCTATTTAGCTAAATTATCATCTAATAATTTTAAATGAAAAAGATTTTCATTTAAATAATAATGGAGACGACAGAACTTCCAGCCTTAACTGAAACAGATAAACAATTACTTTCAAATAAATAATGTAGATACTTTTAAAAAGCAAAATATAACAAATAATAACCTAAAAATATAATACAAAAAAAAATAATTACTAGAGTATAGAGAAAGCAACGAGGTGCCTGATAGCAATAGATAGAGTAGTAGAAACCTCTATCAGCTGTGGCAGAGGCGGGTTCTCTTTAGGCGCTTCATGAGGCAGGATTGACAACCAACCCCGCAGCTGAGAGGCGCTGCGCCACGCAATCACGGCACATATCTAAGATATCCACTTCCCAGATTATATCTTGCACTGACTCACTTCTCGACAAGTCGATGACTCCATAGACTGTTGACCTTGACCATCCATTACATTACGCCCTTACCTGGAACGACCTTAGCTATGGAAGCCGGTGGTCTCGCCGTTGGCGTTATCGCGCTCGCGGGACTCTTCAACAACGCCGTGGACTGCTTCGAGTACGTCCAGCTTGGCTACAGCTTCGGTACCAATTTTCAAACTAGCCTGCTCAAGCTGGATCATGCAAGGCTTCGACTTTCACGCTGGGGCCAAGCCGTGGGCCTAAGCGGAGACCTTGCAGATGCTGAATCACTGCAAGAAGCAACAGTGCAGAAAGAAGATATAGGCAATGCAGAAAAAGTACTGGGTCAGATACTAGATCTGTTCATGGAAGCCGAGAGGATCTCTGCAAAATATAAGGCCTCCGTCAAATCGGACGACTCTGCCCTCACTATCCTCGATGTGCAGGCAGACATGAACGAATTAGGTCGCTCCTTACACGAGAAGATGCGCAACCTTAGTATCAAGCGACAGAACAAAACGTTGCTGCGTCAGAAAGTGAAGTGGGCGTTATATGAGGAAAAGCACTTTAAGAGGCTCATTGAGGACATCGTCGACCTAGTCGCCGCGCTCCCAGAAATATTTCCAGCTGTCAAGCAGGAGCAGCAAAAGCTATGCGAAACCGAAGTCACGGAGATCCAAAAGTGTGAGGCGGGAATGGAGTGTCTCTCTGTTCTGCTGGACATCGTCCGGTCCCGGGACAAGGATTTGGAGGCTGCTATAGCTGCAGTTATGAAATCCGATGTACGTTCATCAAGGATACAGAGAAGGGAGTGATCCTGACTGACCTTTTCAAAGCTAAGCAACCAGGGCGCTGCGTTCAACAACTACAATAGCAAGATTGCGAACCAGGCCGCAAGCATGGCGATCCATGGGGGTCAGACTATCCATCTTTAAGTCAAGAGCCTAGCCAGCGTTAGCAAGAGCGATATAGTTACGGCGAAACAGAGGCATTACTCCGTGTTGGAGCAGTTAGCTCCTAGAGAGTAGAAGGATTTTTATGAAAGAATCTGAGGCGTATACGCTTTCTAGATATGTGTCAAAACAAAGGCAGCTAGCCTTGATCAATACTTGTCGCAACATGAATGGTTGCGAGAGGCCTAGTTGCATTGATCTGTGATGATATCATGTTTGGTACTGCATCAACCATGCAAACTTACAAACAGCTCGTTCTATACCTAAGTCTAAAGGAAGAACAACATACTAAGAGCACTCCCAAAAATTTGCCCTAGGTGAGTTACTGTCTCGACTACGCTAGCATTTGCTTGTGAACTTGCCCTGCAAAGAAGCTGATAGTTAGCTAAGCAATCCATGACCTGCGATAATGCCGTGAAAATTAGCAGTTGGTCCATACAGTACAGGAAGAACCTAGTCTGTGTGAGGATGATCGTAGTTTATCAGCTGCTCAATGAGGCAGCTCCGGGCCGACCCGTT